TTTTTTTTTTTTTGTTTCAGGAACAGGAAAGGCGAGTTCTTTGTGTGTTCTGCATCAGAGGAATCTTCCCTGCATGGTTTCCCTAATGGCTTTAGCTCAGCCTGTCAGAAATGAGCGTGTGGGCTTGAATAAACTCCAGTAGGGAAAAAAAGAGAGGCAATAGAGTTACACATCTTCTAGTGAAGTTTTTGAATTGAATTACTTTGTATTCCAGTGGGTGCTGAGTGATCTACACACTCCAGAAAATGTTAGCTTTTGATTTGCTAATCCTTTAATTACAGGGGAAAAGATGTTCTGCAAACTAATGATGTCTATTATGCAATGCACAGGACTTTTTTTTTTTTTTTGGAGCTTGTTAACACCAATCCAATTTCTGGTCTTTTTTAAAGTTTAGTGAGGAGGAAGTATGCGGAGAAAGACCTGAGGATGTTATGCAAGTGCGGGATCTTTTTCTGCCAGATTAAAATCCAGGATGTTGGTTTTTACTATATGTGGCATTTGCTGGTTCAACAGGATGTCCCATTGATGTGACTCTTTCATTCAGACCCATTGTTGTGTTAGCCAAGCTGTTCCCTGCCAGTAAGGATCTCACTCAAGCATTAGCAAGTGGGATACTGTGCCTGCGTGGATACTTTTACTGTCACAAATAGATACTTTTTTTTCCTGTTAGATCCAATAATCCCTTGAAAAAACTAACTGAGCTCCAAGGACAGATCTTGCATTGTCCCCCTGTATATTAGAAACCATAAATCCCTTTTCATTCAGGTTTTTGTTCATTTCCTGAGGAAGAAGAATTGAGGAAAGTGCGAACTCCGAACAGCAAAACATGTTACGTTGCGGATGATGTAACGTCTGGCTGAGGACCAAGAGGTGATGCATTGAATATTTTGCACGTCAAGAGCATTTTTGGCAACTCACACTTGTTACAAAGATGACAGCAGTCCCTTAACGAGCCATATAACAAGTGTCTCTCTTCTGAATTGGGAGTAGTAGTTACTGAAGCAGATGTTCACTGGAACGTTCAGAAAAAATGTCAAATATTGACTTTTGGCTACAGATGGGCTTCGTGTGTCAGCTGGGGGTTTTTTTCAGATTTTTTTTTTTTTTTTTTTGTTTTTGTTTTCACAGCAGCTATTTGGCTGTTTGGATTTCACTAGTCAAATTAATTAAAAAAGATTAAAATGATTTTATTATCAATTATATGTGTACTGCACATACATGTAGAATAAAAGGAATTAAGAAAATGGAAAAAAGATAAAAGGACACTCCAGGAAGGATATTTTAAAAAATTGAACCTATGCACAGTAGTGGCATCAGTGCAAATAAAGTAATGCAAGATGATGTAAATGGACATATAATAGATAGACAAAATATTATAAATAAATAGAGCAGCTTATAATATACACATACAATAGCAGGTATGACACTAGGATATACATAGAAAATGTATTTAGGTGAAAACTTTTGTAGTTGAGTTAAGTCAATATTGCTTTGGTAACATACATGAGTAATGATATTGCAAATGCAGGTGATTTTATTGTTGTATAAAGAGCCGTCGATCGAAAATATATGAATATTTTTCAGTTATTTTTCTGCATGCTTTGCTCAAAGGTGTCGAACACGGGCATGGGAGTGGCATTATTGTGTACACCTTCTATGAATTTGTGCATTTTATAATCTTTAGTTAAGCAAAATCTATGACACAAAGTTGATATAGTCCAACAATGCTTATAGTAATAATGATATACTACCTGTATTTAGGTAGAAGAGTAAGAGAACAGTTTGTTTACAAAGAGCTATGCGCTCAGGAGAAAAGCAGAGCAACACAAACCTAACACAACAGTGTTAATGAGGTAATATAAAGAAGCTTAGTCATAAAATATAACAAGCAGGACTTTGACTGTGAGTCAAAGACTAAAGTTAACCGTTCACTAAGTAAAACAACAATGCACAACATCACATATCTCTGTGTATAATAAGTATATGTAAAATGTAGCTATGTATTTAATGATGTAGTTTAAAGATTTAAAAGTGTAATATTATTCAAAAAAAACAAAAGTTCAAGGAAGGAATATGAGGAGTATATCTCTTGTCAGTGTACGTTACACTAAAGGGTATGAAAGAAAAGTCAAAATGCTCTTACCGTGTTTCTGTTCCTGTCCAAGAACCGTAAAGTTAACACTGATCCGTTTATTGTTGTGTATTCTGAGGAAAAAGGTTGCATGCACTCTGGCACTGCAGTGACTAATCTCTGCTTCAGCCAACCCCACTCCCTTCACTTCTGACACTGTAGGAGCGTGTCCCTTCACCACGTAACACAGACGTAGCATTTGTCAGTGTGAGTGCGTGTGCGCACGCACGTGTGTGTGTGTGTGTGTGTGTGTGTGTGTTTGAGTGTGGATCAGGTTCAAGGAGAAATGTCTAAGACGAATACAAATTCCTTGAGTCGTCTGTTTTCTTATGCTGTGCTGTGCAATGCACCATATAAAGAGAGGCTGTTTTACACACAGGGAGTTCCTATTGGTGGTTGTCCTTTTCTTTTCTTTTTTTTTGTACATACTTCACCAGCCTCATTCCTAGTAGCAGCAGCTTTGGTCATTTGAAATATACAAGTGAAACTAGAGTAATGTTTTTTTGTTTTGTTTTTTCTACTATTTCCTTATTTCTGCTTCCTCAGAAACGTTCGGCTATTTTTTGACTGCCACACTCTTATAAATATATCAAACAAAAATATACAAGACAATTGGATTTGGGCCAGAAATAAATAATGAAATGTATCCATAAAAATTCCAGTCAGACAAAGAAAAGGAACATTAGTTTTCATTAGAGGGGAAAAGGGGCCTTTAGCTATGTTAAAATTGCATATTGACTTGATTTCTTTTTTTTTTTTTTTTTTTTTTCCAGAAAAATCAGCTGCATAGCATTCTGTCAGGAAGTCTAATTACTGGGTTGGGAAGGTTTAAATTCATACAAGGAATGATATGACATGCATGGGCATGCTTTGGATCATGGACCCTTATGTATGGGTTCACAGGAAAACCTCACCTGCCTCTGGGCCAAACGGGCTTTCCTAAATGTGGTTTATGGGTGGTGTCTGCTGTAAAGTTCTTCGCTACAGTCTGAGAATAATCAGTTACTGTTTGTTTGCGTTTCTGTAGCCAGAGAGTAAATGCAAAACCTCAACCCCTGTCAAATCAAGTTTAAGAATTCACATGCTCTCACGCGTGGTTTTCGTGTTGTGAGAGCTCTTAAACTAAAGATGTCTGCTGCTGTCTGGTGTCCATATGTCCTGTCTGGAGGGGACAGTTGTGCCAGCTGAACCAAAACTTAAACAGGAAGGCGACACCATCAGTTGGTCACCCTGTTTGTGCCCTTAGGGTTTGTCTCAAAGTGGACTCTCAACCAGGGAAATTCCAAAGGATTCTGCAATTGCTCCTTCTGTGACCACTTTTGTAATATCTTGTTTAGAGGATCTCTATGATGTTTTTTTTTTTAATCTCAAACTGGTATTATAATAAAGTAATAAAGTTACTGTATTTGAGGAGTGGAAAAAAAAAACTAACTCAGGAAACCGGTTGTCGTCATTAACATTATTAAGCAGCCACATGGTTGCCACATCCGTGACAGCAAAATCCGCAGTTTCCGGCCGCAGTAGGGGTCATGGACTGGTTAAGGACGGAGGCAGTCGCTGAAAAGTTACCAGCCCCATTGATTTATAGCACCAGAAAGCAACGTAACCTGAATGTAAATGACCCACAGGATTTTTGCCTTGTCTCGCCAGGTGCCGGCAATCCCCAGTGCAAAGTGGCCATTGTCATGTGCAGGAGCGGCATTCGGGATGAAAACATCAGGTCAGCAGAACAGTTATGTGAAATATACGTCCACGTTTCTTTGTGGGAACAAACACGCAAAGATTTGTTTCTGCCTTTTTCCAGAGTTTTCTGATGTCATGTTTTTCACCACAACAACAGGATTTTTATTAGTATTGTTCATTTCTAGTTTTGGTTTTATGTGAGATTGTTTTGTGTGTTCCTTTGAACTTTTTTTTTAAGAAGCCATTTGTCCCACTAGACTTCTTCTGTTTCTGCTGCCAATATAACTGAAATGGACTTTGCTTAGAGACACAGCCTACTTCCCAGCATGCCCCTTAGCACCGGTCTAGCTTTCTGCCCTGATGTTTGTATAACACATAGGGGGAAAAAAAGTCAGTCTAATGTTGATGCTTGTGTGTGTTAAATTTTGCTTGAAGTTTAATTGGCATAATTTAGGATATTAATTAAAAGAAATTCCTAACAACCACACCCAGAATATAATAACTCTTCTCCTTGGTTTGTCAGCAGTAAAAGGCACACACCCTTGCTTGCAATGAATGGAGATTCCCATCAGTATCATATTTATAGCTGCGTGAAAAACCTGTGAAAATGGCAACTGTGCTCAAAGTATAATTCCATCACATGCTTCGGCTGTAAACCTGTCTCTTAGGCACAGCCAGCACAGTATGATCCTCGTACCTATGGACACAGCAGGTGTAAAGCTCATCAGACCACTCACTGTGTTCGGTCAGGATGGTAAGTTAATGATATCATCTGTCCTTGTTTATTTTTCCCCACAGTATGGGCGTGCAGAGATGACATCTGAGCTTTCCTGACACGATTTAATCCTTGTATCTGTTCTCAGATGCGATCCATGGTGGCCACTTTGAAGTGCATTTTGAAAATGTGCGCGTACCCGCCTCCAGCATTATTCTAGGTAAAAGCCTTTATTGTTTTGTCTATATTCCCAAGAAACAGAATATGTTTGAACGATAAAGCAGTGTTGACTTGACATTTTGTGAATGAGATAATTACGGCCTCTTCTGTTATCTCTCTTTCTGTGTTACACTGTTGTGGTTTCCAGGGGAGGGCAGGGGATTTGAGATTGCCCAAGGTCGCCTGGGGCCAGGCAGGCTGCACCACTGTATGAGAGCTGTCGGACTAGCCGAGTTGGCATTGGAGCTACTCTGCCAGCGGGCTGCCACCAGACACACCTTTGGAAAACAACTGTACCAGCATGTGAGTGAAGCTGTATCTGAAGGAGAGGTTCTCAGAGCTTTGATGGCTTTCTGCCAGTTTTGGGGTTACAGCATACAGGAGAAGAAAAATATCAGGAAATGGGGTTTATAATCGCAGTTTTTGTGCCATTTATAGCAAGTTAAATTCATTTCTGTATTTGCCAGCATTGGGAATGTTTATTCTGCCTAAATAGAATAACATGTACAGTATTGCAAAGAGAGAACCCAAGAGATATGCCAGATTTAAATCTTGGGGCTGTGGCAGTATGTGCTGAGAGATGTCCTACTGTTGACACCTAGTGGACAGCTTTTTAGATGCAGCTAATGGATCTCTGTGTTATCTATTGTCCAGGAAGTTATTGCTCATTGGATAGCAGAGTGCCGTCTCATGATAGAGCAGACTCGCCTGCTTACTCTCAATGCTGCTCATGCACTGGATACACTAGGCAGTCGGGCAGCTCGTAAGGAGGTAAAACTATTTTTGACCCTCACATTTAAAACAACAAAACAAACACATATAAATGTGCTGATATCTTACTTGGGATGGACAATAACATTGTATTTCTAAAACCAATGGCTTCTCTGTTGCATTTTGGATATTTTTATTTTTTTTGAAAGTCATTTTTATCATGACATACACTATATTGTCAAAAGTATTCAATCACTTCCCTTTACACATATGAACTTGAGTGACATCCCATAATAGAGGTGTTTATGGGAATTTTTGACCACTCTTCCGGAAGTCCATTTGTGAATTCCGGTAAAGTTCTTCTGCACCAAATTCGCTAATCCATGTCTTTATGACCTATCTTTGTGCACTGGTGCGCAATCATGAACAGGAATGGGACATCCCCAAACTCACACAAAGTTGGGAGCTGGAAATTGTCCAAAATGTCTTGGTATGCTAAAGCATTGAGTTCCTTTCATTGGAACTAAGGCACCCTAATCCCCCCTCCTCCAAACTTTACAGTTGTCACAATGCAGTCAGACAAGTACTGTTCTCCTGGCAACCGCCAAATCCGGTCTCATCCATCAGATTCCAGACACTCCAGTCATCACTCAATAACTCCAAAGACCAACCTCGCCACTGCTCTTGCACTGGCAGTGTGTTTTACACCACTGCATTTGATACTTTGCATTGTGCTTGGTGATCCAAGGCCTGAATCCAGCTGGTCTGCCATGGAAACCCATTCAATGAAGCTCTCTAGACACTCTACCTGAGCTAATTTGGAGGCCACATGAAGTTTGGAGGTCTGTAGCGATTAACTTTACAGAAAGTTGGCAACTTCAGCCTCTGCTGACCATGCTGTTTTTTGTTTTTACATGGCCTACCACTTTGTGGCTGAGTGGTCATTTCCACTTCATTATAATACCACTAACAGTTGACTATGGAATAGTCAATAGCTCAGAATTTCACAAATTGACTTGTTGCACAGCTGTCATCCTATTACAGGACCACACTAGAATTGATTTGAGCTCCTGAGAGCGACCCATTCATTCATAAATGTTTGTAGAAACAGTCTGCACGACTAGGTGCATGATTTTATACACCTATGGCTATGGAAGTGATTCAAACACCTGAATTCAATGATGTCGATAGATCAGTGAATACTTTTGGCAATATAGCATATGCAATCCCAGCTTGAAATCACTGTGGGATGGAATTGGGAAAGGGCTGTGGTCTTTTGAACTCTAACATTTACCTTTATCACTGCCTCCTAGATTGCTATGATTAAGGTTGCAGCAGGAAGAATGGCCTGCAAGGTGGTGGACATAGCCATACAGGTATATGGTGGTGCAGGTGTGTCTGGAGACGTTCCACTAGCACAGATGTAAGTTTGGACCCGTCCCAACACATAAATGGGTATTTGATAAATGCCTTCCATGATGCCAATATTACATTTGTCTTCAGGTACTCATATGTGCGGACTCTGCGCATCGCTGATGGACCAGATGAGGTGCACCTCTCCTCTATAGCCTATTTGGAACTCAGAGATCAACTAAAGAAGGCACAGGCAAAGCTCTAAAAACATGGCCACAGCTTCATTATACTGCAGTAAACTATTACTGCCCCGATAAGCATTTTTGGCCCTAAAGTGAGATTGCTTGATTTTTATTCACTAGTTGCAAAAACACTGAACTTTAAAATGAAAAACCTTACTAAACATACTACCTGTAAAGAAGCACCCTTACATATGTGCCAGGTGAAAATCAAATAAAACATGATTAAAGTGTCTGCCTCAGCTCTTTGTTTAAAAAAAAAAAAAAAAAATCACTTTATTAGGAATTATTTTTAATGTGAACTACAAAAACAGAAAATGACAGCATGAATAAGACTATTGTCGTCACACTCTTTACAGGTGTGGTCTACCACATGGATGAATTCCATTTGGAGGTGATGGGAATCAGGAAACACAAGCACGTTATTTATTTTTTTACAATATAAAACAGCAGTGGCGCCATCTATCTGGTACACCAGATGGAAACCCATGCAAAACCCTCCACACTTCATTGTCCTCACTTTAACATCAGGGCAGAAATCTTCAGCTGCCAAATCAGTCAATTTTTATACACATGGCGCAGAGAATAGGAGGGAGGAGTTGGGGAAGAAAAGAAAAAAAAAAAGTTGTCAGTGTTTACTCTTCTTTGACTTTTTGTGAGATCGATGTGGAGACCTTGATTTGGAGCGGGATTTCTTAGCTGATTTCTTGGGTGTCCTGGAGCGCGATCTCCTGGATCGTTTGGGTGTGCGAGGTGATGACGGTGATCTAAATAAGAAAATGGCAAAAATAAACAAAAAATGGGAATACCCAGAAAAGCAAATATCAAATTTGTTGAATATTCAGGTCCAGGACTACATATGTAGCACTTTACTACTCTTAGTGACCACTTCAAGCACATTGAGTATGTTAAAATGTTAATATTAGTAGCGCTTAACACCATCTTACCTCTTGGATGACTTTCTGTTGCTGGATCGAGGAGAGTCTTTATGAGAAGAACGTGAGGATGTGTCTTTAGAGTATGATCGGTCGGAGCGCTCTGATCTTTCGGACCGCTCTGAACGAGGTGAGGACGACCGGCCTCGTCTGCTGCTGCTCCGCGTTGGGCTCGGTGATCCACTGTGACGACGCTTCCTATCAACCGGAGGGGACAAATATCTGTCACACAGGAAATTAAATAAATCCAATGTTCCATGAATGAAAGAAAAAAAGAAAAACCCTAGATCCACACTTTGAATCACTGAAAGCACGCAGCAATTAAACAAGTGTCTGAATTAAACAAGTGTCTGACCTCTCCTTTCTGGTTGGTGTGTCCTCCTTCTCTTTTTCCTTCTTTAACTCTTTCAACCGTGCCTCAGCTTTTTCCTTCTCTTTCTTTTCCTTCTCTTTTTCCCGCTCCAGTTTTTCTTTTTCTTTTTCCTAAAGGGATAAAAAAAAAAAATCTCTTGTTAGGTTTTGATTTTTTTTTTTCACGGCATGTAACAATTATAAACCAGTAATAAATGATCAAAAGTGTGCATTTTTCTTCCAAACTTTAAGCACACCTGATCCAATACACACCTTTTGTAGTAGTTTGTCCCTATAATGTTCCACCTGCTCCTGAATACTCTGACCGGGCTTCTTAGGTCTTTTCCCAGACTCCAGCTCATCCTGGAACTTCATGACTTTAACCTGCATGGAGAAATACAATCAACTATTATGTGCAGTCTGAGGTCTGTGGTATCTGTAAAGTACCTCTATCTCTTCCTCACTCTCAGCACTATTATTTTCATCCCTTCCTGTTTCCCTGTTACAATTCACAGACAACCCTGTTCTAATTGGCTCTTTAAAAATATGGTATCAATTCTGGCGTCACTTCAATTCAGTCTCTGCTTCTGCTCTGACCCCAATCTGCAACAACCACCTCTTCCCCC